GTATGTCAGCTTCAGCAGGCACCGTGCCACCCCTGCGTATGTCAGCTTCAGCAGGCACCGTGACACCCCTGCGCATGTTAGCTTCTCCATGGCTGCACCTTGCTCTCACTGACTACACAGTCCCACCATCCAACACTTAACACGCATTTGCCTTAAAAACGTAATCATATGTCTTAAAAATATTTCATTATACACTGACTAAATAATAATAGGAATCCATTAATAACAGCAAAACCAGTTAGTACTTCTTCACAGTAGCTTTTGGTCACAAATCACACTTTTGTCTAAAATCAGTATTTGACATCCTTTCATGTATAAATCATACACATTCTTTAATGTAAAACTGGTTTTGACACATTATTAGACACTGTAGTAGGGTTTTAAGTCCCCTTACTGGACCAGGGTGATTAAGCCTGGCGCTGAGAGCAAACAGTAAAAATGTAACCTCACTAGTAATGGTTAAGCGACTGGAAGACTGATCACTCTCTCACCTCGCTGTTGTGTCCCCTCAGGTTGAAGTTGATTCTCTGCGGCGTGCTCCGGTCCCGTCTGCAGTGGCTGGAGGTGAAAGTGACCCCGACGACCCCCCTCCCATTTCCCGTGGCGAGCCAGCCCTCCTCGTAGTAGCGCCTACGGCACACGGGCTTCTCCTTCTCGCTCTTAGGCACGCGGCCCTTCCAGGACAGGCACAGGATATTGGAGTCGCTGCAGAGAACGGCGCCATGCTCCACCGCCGCGAACATCCCTCCTTGAGTGACCGGGGCCCCCAAGTGGTGGGAGGGAGCCGCAGGGGAAAGATCTGTCTTATAAGCCTAACTCGGCGTGACTGGCTTAGCGCTTGCGGTGGACCGGGTCAGTGCTGGCACCCCGAGCGGAGGAGCGCTGCATAGTAATAAGCCGGGATATCCCAGACGACTCGAATGCCACGCCGAACCGAGCACCTCAGGGTCTACCCAGAGCAATGATCGAACTCGAAAATGCCTGAGAACATTCCATTAAATCCAAAGAGGATAGACGGCTTCCTACTGAGAGTTTATGGGTGCAGAGACGTTTGACAGAAGCTTTTAAAAATTGCATAAATAAAAGGCACACTATTCAGGTCATTCTGATGCGTTAAAATGTAGCAAAGTCACATCTACCAAGGATCCCAGCATACAAACCTAATTACGCGAAGACATTGGGATTTCTCTAGATGACCTACTGTCAGCTGTTGATTTTTTAAAATTCAAGGCGATGGCAAATTTTTTACAACTAATCTAGAAAACCTTAAGCTATGCAAATAAGGTTATGCGAATGTACAGTCTTCCATTCAGTTGACCATAAAAGCACAGTTAAAAGCTGACAGTAACTTGATAGGAATCTTGATTTCATACAATAAGTAACTGACAGAGGTAAACACTTTAGTGACAGTGCATGACGTAAAAAAAAAAAAAAAAAAAAAACAATTCCTGGATTTTCCTGTCCTCGCGGTTCCCAAATCCTTTAAATTGCACCTGAACACTCTGGCAACCGAGCTTGTCTCACGCTGCTAAACAAAAAGCTGAATTCGATCTCAGATGTTCAGCAGATTAAAATCTAAGCCTAAAAAATACCCAGGCAACATCCTGTGTATGATAGCACTTGTCTTATCCGTCCCTGGACGGCTCGCCTGCTGTGTCAATGTCCGCCCTGTCCAAGTCAACTTGAAACAGTGTGTCAACTGTCCATCCGCAGGAATGTCCCTTCGCTTGGCAACGTCATTACGTCACCCTGCTCGCCACCAATCAGCGTCGGGAATCCCTTCGAGCGTTCTGTGACAAGACAAAAACATTACTGGTTGTTATACCTGTAGTAGGGAAAGACCCCCCGACGACCATAATGATAATGATAATCGGGGACAACCCCACTTGTTTTGTGCATTAATCAACTAAAACGCCTCTAGACCTGCGAAAGCGTCGCACGATAAATGTCAAAAGACGAACGTATATCGTTCAGCTAACAGCCCAAACCAATGAGCCGACCAGGCTTTACTGATCTCCCTGCGTACGTGTTGATATAGCTAGAATTTTTGAGTACGTGACTTTTGAGTGTTTTGGGTCATTTAAGGCAGGACGATGTAATATAACACAAGTGTAAAGCAACACGTATCACTGATCTAAACAGAATCTAACAACAAGGATTCTGCACAATAGTAAATAAATGATAACCGACATCGCATCAAGAGGAACCATAATATTTTTGCATAACCAAAAAAACTGTGTAATTAGCGACTTATGTGAAATTCCCGTAGAAAGAATCGGCCTCAAATATTAATTGTCAGCATATTGCAGCAACTAGTCTTGCACTTTACATTCACAAATAATTTTAATAATAATGTTCGGACAGGCCGTAGCCTTTCTGATTGTAGTTAAATGAAAAACAAACGAAAAAAACACCTGCAAAAATGGATTGCGAATACAGATCTACTAAGCTAACAATCATTGCTAGATTTAGTCCAAATTTAGAAAATGTTTATTGAAAGATAAAACATCCACACCGTGAAGATGAGAATACTAAATATGATTAGCTTGCTTACTCTCTACACAAATAAAAATGGTACAATTTTAAGAATCGTAATGTATTATTTCATTAAACGGCACTTTTACTGTGCACAAGCGCAATATATTGGTAGCTGGGCTGGCTTGCTAATTTAAAATCCCGTTTTTACGCTTCTTTCAATAGCCAGAATGCTACGGTATATCGCCAGGGATTTCAGAAACATAATTTCTGTAATTATAGCGGAATTAAATTAACCAAATCGTTAATGCAGCGAAACAAGGTTAGGGAGAATTAATTAACAGATACTTGATGAAAATATTTCTGAATAACAATCAATCGCTTACCTCTCGTCTCTTGTGTTGGTGCCACTCTGCTGGGCCCACTCCGGGGTCACGTGATGGTCACATGATTTGTCGGTCGCCATATCACAAACCCGGTTAATAGGAAAAATGCACTGTTCTTTTGAGCGGAGTAGATATTGTCAGTATATGTAAAACCTTTTTTTTTTTTTTTTTTTTTAAATAAACCAGCACTTCGTAATTTATAGTTACAGTCAGCAGTTCTGGTACTATTTATAGTTCAGTTTCTACATTAGAAACGGCAGCATTTGATACTTTAAGGTAATGAGCTGCAAGAAAATAACCCACAATATTTTAAAATAGCACTGACTTTGGGACTATAATTAAATGAAAAATAAACAAAAATCAGCTGCAAAAATGGATTGCGATACAGACCTACCAAGCTACCATCATTGCTAGATTTAATCCAGATTTAGAAATTGCAGTGCGCAGCTTAATGAGTACAAATGACCAGACAAAATAACTTCTATAGAATTAAACACTAACAGTTATTACGTGACAAAGTATTGGATAATGTTACGGGATAATGATTTGACCTAAGCAGCTTGTTGCACGTGAACATCTTCATAAATAGAGTAATTAGGTATAGGTACAAGACAGACTTGATAAAGACAATTGAAATGAATCAGAAGAATCCTCTTTACTTGATGTTTTGTATTGCTGCATTTTCTAGCTGTAGGTAATGCACCTCCTGACTGTAAACCCTCACATACCTCAAAGGGTGTCACATTTCCCGAAACTTCCCAATAATAAGATTCATGAAACAGACAACAAAATTAAAACATTGGGTGTTTAATTCATTTAACACATATGAACAGACAGTAATGAACATTATGTTTGTGTGTAGCTGTAAAAAAGCCACAATAGGTAGTTGATTTTATATTCCAAACTTCAACTGGGTAATTCATTTTAAAAAAACTAATTTAAATACACTATCCAACTGAAGATGACCAAAATGGTACAGTGCATCAATACAGAAATAGAGAGAAACACAGCTCATATACTGCGCAAACCACAAATCATAAAGATTTCCACTTGAAAAAACCATGCTCTCTGAAAGGAGCTCTTCCTTGTTGTAAAGCACATTCCTTTACTTCTGGGTAATGGGAAATGAGTTCTGGTCCATCAGTTCCCCTACTTTCTCTTGAAGAATCTGAACTACTTCTGCCAGAATGAAGACATGCGTGTCGTCAAGGTCCTGAATGATGAATTTCTTCCCCAGGGCCGAGGTTTCATCCAAGTATAAGAGGAACTGCTTCATTGCAGGGTCACTGTTTCACAGGGGTAAGGAACAAACTCACAGTCAGAGCTCCATCAACATTCTACACAAAAGATGAAGTATTCATTCTACAAAGAAGGTTCTCCCCCCTGCACCCAGGGCAAACAGCTGTCTGTTGCTCTCCCGTCTCCGACTTGCGGCTTTATTTATGACAAGACATTACGCATCTTGTGGGAACATTGCTATGACAGGCACTATGGAAATTTTCCATTACGTGATTTTTTTCAAAATAAAATAACACACTAAAAATGGTCCCAGTAGTCTCCTTAGTTGAAACTCTTTTATAAAATCCGTATGAGTAAGTTTATTAAAAAATATGATGTTCCTTTGGGTAAAGGGAAGCAATTCAAATACTTAAAGAAACAACTACGCCATGATTCTCATAGTTGTTTAAAATAGCTAATTTAACATGTACGCTGAGCAAAACCTTATTTAAACACGTACGTTTTGCAATAATAAATAAGGCAGTAGGCTGTACGCACCACTCAACAAGAACCCCCTTCAGAACATTGACCATATTTGGGAATATCCGCACCGGACTGCAGAGAAAAGCTGCTTAATTTGCTCCGGCTGAAAACAAATGTAAAGAAACGAATAAAATTAGTTAATGAGAAATGAAGACGACAAACAAGATCGCCTGGCTAGCACTGGAAGGCTACCGAGCCGACAAACCAGTCAACCACTCTATCGATAAATATCGTGCAGGGCTTGTAAAATAATCTACTAGTTATGTAGAAAATTTTGCTAAAACTGCTGCAAAATAAAGCAAGTTAGCCTCAGGTAGCTAGATAATCGTCCGTACTGTCTGATAATACTAACTCGTTCATTTTAGATATCTCGAAATGCTTTTTTACCACTAAACTACAGAGAAACTTCTGTTACCAACATTGTAGAGATAATAAATTATGGTACAGAAATATTATTTACATGTTCAGCTGGCTACCGGCTTGTCATCGAGACCCCCAAGCTGAACCTGCGACTAGCATTGTGGGTAGGACGGGTCACATAGAGGGACTAAAAGGACCGCGTTTCTTTCGCGTTGGTGAGAAAAAAAAATCGTACTCAACAGCCAAGCTATTCATCACGCGATCACAGATCCTACTGTCGACAACCCTGACGAAAAGTACACGTTTACTTTTGTTGCTCAAAAAAAAAAACGCAGTTTATTGTGCAAATTCTTGTTAGTTAAATCAAACAAGATAGGTCAGAGTAATTTAACACAAATACAAAACTGAAAAGTTAGTGCTTATTATACATTAAAATGATGACTGGTACAAATTAGTTTAAATCTAAACATACAAAGTACATTTGGGATGGTAAGACAGTACAACGATGGTTCAGCGAATAAAACAATCGGTAGGCGAATCAATGCAAAAGACTCAGCAGCTAGTTAGCTATAGATGGCCTTGTTGGCACACACATTCACACCTGTGTACATGCAAGACTCCACACTGCTCACACACAGCATGTGGCAGTCCAGCATATCACTGCTAAATGTGAGCTTTGAAGTGAATTTGAGCACCATGCTGTAATGAATTACTCTCCTCATGACTGTACACAGGTAAAAAAAAATAAACAAAAAAAAAATGCTAGATAATCTTATTTACACACGAAAATCCACCTCTTTGTAGACATTAAAACTCATCCTCAGACATTCAAGAACAAAGCTGCTCATGTGTTAATGACCAAGCAGAATGCATTGAAACCATTAATTTTTTTCCCCATTTTGACTTTTTTCATACACACTTTTTCCTCCTAAACATAGCTGTGGTTAAGACTGAAAGATCCCCCCCATCAGTGCGTATACAGGCAGCGACGGGGAAGCTAGTGGATGACTTTGCTCCCCAGCGTGTCCTCGATGAACTGCACGCTGCGCCTGTACAGGAAGGAATCCTTCTTCTCGGGTTTGCAAATGCTGAGGTGATCCACATCCATCTTGATGAGGTCACCGATTCCCAGATCTTGAAACCAAGTGGGACATTAACGATAAACTCAGGAAGCACACAGACATCTTTCACTGAGGGACACTGGGTGGCGTGGTGGTTACTGGACTCTAATGATGTGACAAACAGAGCTGATAATTGGGTGGTGTAAGGAGGCTGAAATGGGCCTCTAGCCCCCATGTAAAATAGCTGTGTAGGCCCTGCATTCCTCATTGTACGTCTCTGAGTAAAAGTGTCCCTCTCATTGGTTACTTTATTAGTTCCAACTGGTTTACTTGCATCCTGCAACCTCCCCCCCACCAACAAAGGCCTCACCTGCCGACTGCACCGGCACCACAACCAGCTTGATCATAGGGCCCAAGGAGGTAGGCAAGGTCTCTGCGAAGCTCAGCACCTTGAAGTCATGCTCCCTGGCCAGGCCGAGGAAGCCGTCATTCAGCTCCTGCAGTGCCGGGGAATCTGGGCGAAGGGTGATGAGGGACAGTGAAGGCGGGACGGCCACAAACCCCCTCCCTGCTAGTCCCCCACTCTAAAACACCCGGGGAACCAAACAGGGCGCCGGGGGACAACAAGCCAGAGCAGAACACGAGAATGCAGACCTCTGCAGAGCTCTTTGACTTCGATGGAGGGGAAGAGCAGGTACTTGATGTTGACGGAGTACTCGGCTATCGAAGTCCCCCGATGGGGTACGCTGTAGAACATGATGCCCTTGGTGTTCTTTACAAGCTGGGCCATGGCAGGGTCCTTGGAGGCATCCAGGAGCATCTTCTTAACCAGAAGACCTGAAACATGAAGCGACATTAATATTTCAGGCACGCAAACACACACACACCTGTAGTCTAAGCAGGTGACACTAAGCAGCACGCGGTAAGTTAGTGATGCTCTCCACCCTACCTGGACAGTCAGAGTGTGACATCAGTCAACATGCAGACCGAACTGAGGGAAACTGAGGTACCATAAATCCGACAAGTTGTCCAGCTAAGCAAGAAATCTTTACTTTTTGAAGCGGGTCCCTGGTATCGTTAAATGGCTTTCTGACTTGTGCTGGAACGCATTTAACTCGTGTGTGACGTCATTCCCAGTTCCGACCTCCGAGGTAAATAAATGCAGCATAATGAGACTGGGCTTAAGCTCCACAGCAGACAGATGGGATCCGCATTTAACTCTGAGCGTTTTGTATGCAGATATCGCCGATTCACGCTACTTTCCTCAACAGGACAGCTGAACTGAAGTCCTGATGATAACGTGTTTAAGAACAATGTCCATAATACCTCAGGTGCATCCCCCACCCCCCCTTACCTCCCATGCTGTGGGCCACCCAGATCACAGGCTTGTCCCCCACGCCCGCCATCTTCAGCTTGTTCAGGAGCTCATGGCTTCTGTACGCCAAGGACTTTCTGCACAACACAGGCACAGAGAGTGATGCCGTGTAGAGAGGGGGGGGGAAACGGCCTATTTACGCAATAATAATAAATAAATATAGCGGCGCCCAGGGAGCTGGGGGTTAAGGGCCTTGCTCAGGCTGGGTTTGAACCGGCGACCTTCTGATTACAGGCACACAGGTTTAGCCCACTGAGCCACACGCCGCCCCCAGCTAAGAGTGTACGAAACAAGATGGGGGGAGCATCTGCAGATAAAGTCGCAAAAACACAAGCATATGGGAATGGGTGGGGTGGGGTGGGGTGGAGACAGACCTCTGGTTCTCAGCAGGACACCTGGCATTCCAGTCACTCAGATGGGTGTCGTACTCCACGGAGAGGACCCTCAGACTGGGGCAGTCCGCAGCTAACCACGACTGAGGGGGGGCAGTGACACACTCATCGTCACAGGCAGCGGGGCGACAATAAAAAAATGACCCCATGGAGATTTTTCCCATCATCGCACCCCTAGATCGATAGCGTCCACCTCTAAACACGAGCTTCTCAACCTACCGTTTACATTTTATTCATTTATCTGGCACTCTTATCCAAAGTAACTTATGTAAGTCGCTTTGGCTAAGGGCGTCTGCCAAATGCTGTAAATGTAAATGTAAACTTACAGTTGAGGGAAAGGTTACAATTAGAGCTGCGATATCGGACAATATTCAAACATCACAATGTGATTTCTGTGAGATTTATAAAGCAAAAAAGGAGTTGTACCCAAAAAATCTATAGCCAAACAGAAATTATCTACCAACAGAGTCCGTCAGATAGGCTGGTGGTGTTGCCGTGAGATAAAGTTGCACTTGCTTTTGCTCAATATTGTCAATATTTCCATACAGTGGAAGGCAAATGTCTTTTGGTGATCAGTTCTTGTTCATTTCTCTGCTCTTCACTCACTTTTGTTAAATTTCTCGGCTCAGAGAGCGCGTGTAGAGATCATGCAGATGGAGCGACAGTAAACTTTAGACTGATTTAACATTTATTAGATAATCCTGAAAAGGAATGTTGCAAAGCTTGCTAAGTTTTGTTTCCTATGACAGAGTAAAAATGTTTCAGCGAAACTTAGAGATGGTCTCTGTTTGGTGAATCTCATAATGAGGATCGCCACTCTGCTTGGTGAATTTTATTGCCAAGATTTCTAAATACCAGACCTGTATTGCAAAGTAACATTGTTTTTGAAAATACTGAATACAGTGGGACAAATGCATGTGCACAACACATGATGCTGATATTAATCTCGGACATCACCCAGCCCCCACCCCCAGTGACAGGAGCTCACCTTGGGCCAGCACTCAGCATAGAGCTCTCTGTCTTCCGCAGACACGTCCTCCACTTTGAGGTCGCGGTCCTTCTGCCGCCACGTCTTGAAGGCGGCTCCCAGAAGGCCATGAATGAAAAGCACGTCTGCCTTCATTGGCTGGCTGTGGAAGGGGGGGGGGCATAGCAGGAAAGACGGCAGCAGGTACGATTGAACTGAATGTATGCGAGATCCCATCAAGCTGAACTAGAAGAGACAATGACAATATAAGGAGTAACTGGACCCTTTTATTGAAAAGACTGAAATCCAGGTCTGCCCAGTAAGGCAAAGACAGGCTGAATAATGTGACATCATGTGACCTCATGTGACCTCATGTGACATCATGTGACATCATGTGACCTGTACCTCGTGCGGCACTGTGGGTGCAGGACATAGATGCCGTCCTCATATTTCTCAGGAATGGTGTCCCGATCCAGGTTGGCCAGGGCACGGGCTGCGTGTGAGGCCTGCATGACATGTGGTGACTTCAGCACCTCCGCCAGCATGGACAACCAGCCTGTGGAACAACACGGTGGCCACGCCCCCCCCACATACCGACAGCCAATCAGACCCGGAGCTGAATCTTCATTTTCCCACATTGCTACAGTATTTCCTGTGATCATCTTCATCTCTGATCTACATTTATCGATTGCTTAGGAAAAAAACCCCAGGAGAGAGGAGACAGAAGCTGTTGATCCTACCAGACTGGACGATGGCCGTATGTAGGCTGTCATTCAAGGCCAGGTTCCCGATGATGCGCACCACGTTCCTCTTGATCTTCTGCGAGTCGCTGCGGAGTTGGAAGACCCGCTGCAGGAGCTGCAGGCCACCATTGGCCACGATGTTTTCACAGTGGCTCACGACCTGGAGGAAGAGAGAAGAGCCACCAGATAACCTCATACTGTAAGAACTACACTCCACACATGGACTCCAACTTCAGGAAAACCGCCATAGCTGAACAGAAGGACAGCACAGGAAGCTAAAGTAGCAAATTTTCCTCTAGCAAACATTCCATCTGAAGCAACCTGCAGCTCAAATGGTCACCATGAGAAGGTCGATAGTGTCACAGAGGTTCTGGAACAAGAATCACAAACAAAATGTTCCCAGTTGGAGTCCCAGGCGGCACCTGTCGTTGCTCTTCCCAGAGTGGTTCCCAACCTTTCTCCTTCGGCTACCAGTGTCTGATAGTCAGGCAAACTCAAACAGTCTCTCCGTAATTTCCAAGAGTCGTCTCAACACTTTCTTTGGCTTCTGTACTGGAGATTGTGCTAAGGCCAGAAGATGTACATTATCCTGAAAGAACATGCTGAGCAGATGTTCCATTTCTAGTCATCCACTCA